GCTAAACAACATCCTGCAAGAGGCCCCGGAAAGGAGGGCTTGAGAGGCCGCCTTGCCTCTGGTAGAATGAGCCCTCACAGCCACAGGTGAAGGCAAACCGCGCACCTGATAGGCCAGGGAAATAGTCTGAACAATCCAGTTGCTAATAGTATGTTTGGATGCAGGGAGCCCGGCCCTGGGAGACCCAAAACACACTAGCAGCTGGTCAGCCTTCCTCCAACGGGAGGACCTCAGAGTGTAAATACTCAGTGCTCTGACAGGGCAGAGCAGATGAAGTCTCCCGTCCTCCGCCGTCACATGAGGTGGAGGATGAAATGCCTGCAGCACTGTAGACCCTGCCGCACAAGAAGGCACTTTAGGGATGTATCCTGAACGAGGGTGCAGGATAGCCCTAATATTCCCCGGGGCAAACTCCAGGCTTTGCGGGGAAACCGAAAGCGCTTGGAGCTCCCCCACCCTCCTCAGAGAGGTGATAGCAAGGAGAAAGGCCATCTTGAGGGTCAAGTGCTTAGCCTCAGCTGACTCCAGGGGTTTGAAGGGGGCCTCAGCCAACGCCCCAAGAACCACTGCCAGATCCCAAGTGGGAACCTTGGACCGAGTCGCAGGTCTCATCCTCCGGGCACCATGGAGGAAACGTACAACCAAGGGAAGTTTCCCCAAGAACCCCTCCCTCAGAGGGGTGTGGAAAGAGAAAATAGCTGCCACGTACACCTTGAGGGTGGAAGGGGAAAGACCAGCAGAGAACCGGTCCTGGAGGAACTCAAGTACCTGAACCACCGGGCAGGTAACAGGGTCCACCGACCGCTCCCTACACCAAGTGGAGAAAACACTCCACTTCAGGCCGTACATCCTCCGTGTGGACGGGGCCCTGGAGCTCAGGAGGGTCTCGACTGCTCCGGCTGTTAGACCCGCCTCTAGGTACTGTGCCCCCTCAGGGGCCAGACCCACAGTCGCCATATGGCGGGGCAAGGGTGAAGAACCCGGCCCTGCGCCTGGGACAGCAGGTCTCTCCTCAGAGGGACCCGCCCCGGTGGGCTGTCCAGGAGCGACATGATGTCCGAGAACCACACCCGGGTTGGCCAGAACGGGGCTACGAGCAGTAGGCCGACATAGTCCTGGCGGACCCGCTCCAGAACCCCGGGAGCAGAGCGACTGGGGGAAAAGCGTACAGACGTAGCCTCGGCCACGAATGTACCATGGCGTCCAGACCCAACGGGGCTGTAGGAACGAGAGAAACCATAGCGGGCAGTGCGTAGTCTCTTGAGACGCAAACAGATCCACGTCTATGGGGCCAAACTCTTCGCACAAGAGCTCCACCACTTCGGGGTGAAGTCTCCATTCCCCGGGCCTCAGCCCCTGCCGCAACAGCAGGTCTGCTCCCTGATTCTGCGTCCCCAGGAGATACATCGCCCTGAGCGATAGTAACCTCTGCTGGGACCACAGGAGGATCTGACGCGCCAGTCTGTCCAGAGGGCGCGAGCGCAGACCGCCCTGGTGATTCAGATAGGCCACCACCGCTGTGTTGTTCTCCTCGGAACGAACCAGGACGTGGTGGCCTTGGAGATCGGGCAGGAAACCCCTTAGAGCCTGGAACACCGCCAACATCTCGAGACAGTTGATATGCCACTCGGATCGATGCACCTGCCAGGATCCCCTTGCAAAGCGGCCGTCCATGACCGCGCCCAGCCCGTGAGGGAGGCGTCTGTCGAAATAACCAGCCGGCGACAAGACCCTCCCAGCACGGGCCCCTGGGACAGGAACCAAGTTTCCTTCCAAACTGATAGGGAACGAAGACACTTGCGCGTAACCCAAACCAGACGGAGAGGATTCCCCTCGGGGAAAAACCCTTGTTCCTTAGCCACCACTGCAGGGGTCTCATGTGCAGCAGTCCAGATGGTATTACGCTGGACGCAGCCGCCAGGAGACCCAACACTCGTTGAAAGTGTTTCATAGTGATGGCGTGGCCTAACTTCATCCCTTTCACGGCAGCCAATATGGTGTCGACACGTGCCGGAGACAATTGTGCCCGCATCGTTGCCGAATCCCATACAACCCCTAGGAACGTAGTCCATTGGTTGGGCGCCAGCACGCTCTTCTTTGCGTTGAGCCTCAGCCCTAAACGCCGCAGATGAGCCAGAACGACATCTCGATGCCGAACCGCCAACTCTCGAGACTGGGCTAGGATGAGCCAGTCGTCGATGAAGTTGAAATCCGGATGCCCCGGAGCCTCAGCGGGGCCAGTGCTGCATCCATACACTTGGTGAATGTGCTAGGGGAAGTGCCAGGCCGAATGGAAGAACCCGATACCGGTAAGCCACACCCCCGAAGGCAAACCTCAGGAACTTCCTGTGAGAAGGACGGATGGAGACCTGGAAATAGGCGTCCTTTAGATCTATCGTGACGATAGATCTAAAGGATCAGATTGGATGTGCGTCACGGTGGCGGGGATGATGAGCATCTTTAACCTGAATCTCCTCAGAGACCGGTTAGAACCCGCAGATCCAAAATAGGGCACGCAGCCCTCCGTCCTTCTTGGGGACTATGAAGTACCGGCTGTAGAACCGGCGTCTCTGTCTGGGGGGGAGACACGTTCCACGGCCCCTTTCCTCAGCAGAGTACAAACTTCCTGTCCCAACACCGGACCTTGCTCCGGGCGGACCACAGTCCAAACCACCCCCTCTCTTCTGTTGAATTTGGAGGGCGGGTTTTGAACTGTAGTCGATACCCATCTATGGCAGTGCGCAGGACCCGCGGAGAAATGTTCGTCAGGCTCCGCCAAGCGTCTGCAAAGTCTGCCAACGGAACCAGCCCCTCGGGGCTGGTGGTCGGTGTCTCGTGTGATCTTCTGGTGGACCCCTGAAGCCCCAGAACGGCAGGGGGGAGCCGCCGAAGATCCACGGTGAGTGAGTCGGGATGCCGTCCGCCTGCAGACCCTTGGGGCAGGCAGTACGGCGCGGACTCGATGGTGGCAGGTGCGTCCTGAACGTGTAAATGGCGGGATAACATCACCTGTTGCCACGGCGGAGGGGACCTCGGTCGGCCTCCGGGGAGGGTGGGGGGGGTGCGGGAGGGGAGAAAGACTCCCCTACCCCGGTCTTCCCTGAGCTCCGTCTTTGGGACTGGATGACGGTCCTCAGATCGCGTCTCTCAGACGGCTGAGGGTGAGAGCGCCGTCTCGCTGCCCCAGCTCCTCGGGGGGCCCCCGAGAAGCGACACTCTGCTTCCCTCCTCTCCGTAGGAGCTCGTAGAGGGAAGGGACCTACGCCTGGCAGCCTCAGCTGCCTTGGGTCCAGACCGGCGAGGGAGGTACTGGCGGAACGCTTCGCACTGCGTCTAACGCTTCGTGGTTCTGCGAAGCTCCTGCCAGATCTTCCTCGGAGGGACCCCCCCTCTGAACCATCTCCTCTAGCAGGTTGGCTTGGTAGGCTTGAAGCACCGTGGTGTGCAAGCTCGCACCTGCCTGGCCCGCTGCCATGTACGCCTTCCCCACAAGCGTGGATGTGGTGCGACATGGTTTGGATGGTAACGCCGGCTTCTCCAGGGAGGACGCAAGTCGAGGGGAGAGATAGCTCGCAAGCTCATCCTCCACCCGAGGCATCCTCCCATAACCACGGTCCCTAACCCCCATCACATTACTGTAGTTCAGTGATCGGGGTGTGGAAAGCCATGTAGAGAAGGGTCTGCCCCATGATTTACTCAGTTCATCATGTAAATCAGGAAAGAATGGCAGAGACCGGCGTGGTGGTGCTTAAGAAACCTTTCATCAAGCTACCACTAGCCTGTGGTGTCTGCTCCTCCTGTGGCCAGTTGATGTTGAGCTTAGCCACGGCTCTAGTTACCACCTCCAGCAGCACGTCATAGTCGGGTGCTGCCTGATGACGCCGCCCCGACACCCGGAAGTCATCGTCCACTGCACTGAGCACATCCGCCTCCTTGGAGTCGGATTGCTGCAGCGACTCCGGATCCAAACCGCGAGAGGGAGAAGCCGAGAACGTGCTCCCGAACGAGGAAAGCAAGCGTTGGAGCCAGCGGATGAAGGTCGGAAAAAGCCTCAGCCGTCCCGAAATCCTCCGACAGATCACGCTGTGAACCCCATGAGTGAAGCCGCCGGGCCGCCTCAGCGGCCGCAGGGCCCGCGCCTCGGGGTAAACACATCCGGCCATCCTCGGAAAAGAGAGCCATGCTGTACCTCAGTACCCTCACGGAAAGGGCTTCGCAACGGGCGCAGGCAGCCCCCTCGAGAGCTGCCCGTGCGTGCTCCATCCCCAAACATGAGACACACATCTCATGAGAATCTCCATCCGTGATGTACCGAGGGCAAGAAAAAACACACCTTCTGTACATCTGGTTGCCGGACATGCTGGTAGACTTCTTCTTCAGGTAAGACACACTGCTTGTAGGACTGGAGCTTTCTTCAAACAACATACAGAGCGCCTGCTGAATAAAAAAAAGCTAATGATGAGTGTGTACAGGTGTGCTTTATACTCCTCCGGTTATTCCGTCACACCGTACCGTTCTAGCAACAAGCCAATAGGATTGGAGTGATTTCATTCACGTTCAGACCTGCTTCGCCTAGAGGCGTTCCCATAGTGTCGTAACCGACGCAGTTCGAGTTCCCTCGAAGGGGAACTAAAGATAATATCGTACGTGTCTTCTCGCCACTTTGGTGAACTCGTCTTCTTCCCGTCCTGGTTAGTTCTCCTCCCTTAAACATTAAGGAGCTGTACCGTGTCGAGTGTGGTGTCGGCAGACTTCCTGTGTGCTTTACTCTGCTGGTCAGGAAACCCAACATGGAGTCTTATCAGGCAAAAAAATAGAAAAGAAAACATCACTCCAGGACCACAAACAACCCAGAGTTAACGATGAATAATGATGAAAGAAGGTGATCATCTAGTCTTAAAGAGAATTTTTTTTCCAACCTTAAAGAGTAATTTCTTAATTTTTATGATGGGGACACAAGGTTCTGTTTGGTGTCCTGTACACGAGCTCTGTGGGCTGCAGGGGGCGCCGTCTCACCTGTGAAATGCTCGGTGAACTCCTGCTCCAGCTTGGTGGCTCTGTCGAAGGTTTTCCTGCCCTGCTCCTCTGTCAGACGCTTGTTCATCTCCCTGCGGGACCAAAGATCACACCGAGGTCACGCCACCTTTACTCCTCCCAGTTTAGCGCCAGCAGCAGAGTAATAAAACACCAACGAAGAAAAGCACAAAGCTCCTGCTGTTTGACTCACATGATGTTCTCCACAGATTTGGGTTTGATGAAGATGGCGATGGGGTGAAGCTGAGCCAGCTGCAGTCTCTTGATGGCGTTCCCCGACACGTCCAGGATGCAGTGTTTACCCTGAGAACCACACAAGAAGAACATTTTTGTTAATTCATACAATGAGTTTCTGAACTAATGGTTTTCGGTTTCCTCTGAGTCCTTGTGTCTCGTCCCTTTTAGATCAAATAGTTCCAGATACTGAAGGAACTAAACCAGGAGCCAAACCAGGAACTAGTCGCTTGTTTTCACCGAAGGAACCCAGGAGCCGTTTCAGGAACTCCAGAACCTGACCTGTGTTTCCAGCAGAGGAACCAGGGGCCACATTTAGCTCCTCAGGGGCGGGGTTTGGAGGGCTGAATGTCACTGATTGGTCAAACATTAACCTCGGAACCTCCTTTCTGTGCGCACGACCTTTGTTTTACAAAATTTCTCCGTCACAAATGATGTAATTAAGGCAAAATACTGGAAGTGAAATAAAGACTTCAGCGGACGAGAGCCCCGCATTTCTACTAACTAACTGTTAACTATTTAACCGGTGTAAAAAGAGAGAGGTGGTAGTTTTATGGGGGTTATCTTCTAAACCCAGCAGGTCGTCGACAGCAGACAGGATCTCCGGGTCTCTGTTCAGTAAACACAAGCAGCAGCATCACTCTGTGCGTTGTCTCTCTGTGGGACTGAACACCGGACACTATCTGCAGCAGCATCGAGACGCGTGTTTGAACCAAATCTGGTCTCTGGCTGAGGTGCAGCTGAAGTTCCCGAAATGGTTCCCGGGAGAGTTCCTGCGGTGGAAACCGTCAGCAGGGTCGGTACCTTCTCGGCCACCTCTCGGACTGACTGTACGCTGGTTCCATACAGGCGGTTGTTGTACTGGCCCGCCTCGATGAACCTGTGGTCCTGGATGTCCTTCTCCGTCTGCTCTCTGGACACCACAAAGTGATAATCTCTGCCGTCCACCTCGTAGTCCCGCTTCGGCCGGGTCGTATCAGAACGAGGTCCTGATCAGAGAGATGGTCAGATACCTGACCGAGAACACGACCCAACATGCCGTCATCGCTTTGAACTGGGTCCTACGTCTGAAGGGGACACCTGAAGAGAAATCATGAATGTTTCCGGCTGCAGAACACATTTAGTTTAGTTTAGCTTTCCCCAAAGTCCCCAAAAAACCCTCTATCTCTGGATTAAATGAGTACAGTGAAAGACTAGTGTTGGCCCACCTGAAGGACACCCCTTGCTGGATCCCCTGCAGTTTGCCTACAGGGCTAACATGTCAGTGGATGATGCATTCAACTTGGGACTGCATTACATCCTGCAACACCTCAACTCTCCAGGGACATATGCTAGGATCCTGTTTGTGGACTTCAGTTCGGCGTTCAACACCATCATCCCGGACATCCTCAGCACCAAACTCACCCAGCTCACTGTGCCAGCCTCCACCTGCCAGTGGATCACAGACTTCCTGACTGACATGAGTCAGCAGGTGAGGCTGGGAAACATCACATCCAGCCTCCGGACTATCAGCACTGGCGCCCCCCAGGGGTGTGTGCTCTCCCCACTGTTCTTCTCCCTCTACACCAACGACTGCACCTCAGGAGACCCATCTGTCAAACTCTTGAAATTCGCTGACGACACAACGGTCATCGGCCTACAGACGGGAGGTTGATCAGCTGGCTCTCTGGTGCGGTCAGAACAACCTGGAGCTTAACACGCTTAAAACTAAGGAGATGATCGTGGACTTCAGGAGGAGCCCCCCCATTCTGCCCCCCATCACCATACTCAACAGCCCTGTGTCTGCTGTGGAATCCTTTAGGTTTCTGAGACCCACTACATACCAGGACCTGAAGTGGGAGCCCAACACTGACACCATCATCAAGAAGGCCCAGCAGAGGATGTACTTCCAGCACCAGCTCAGGAGGCTCAACCTGCCTAAGGAGCTGCTGATCCACTTCTACACAACCATCATCCAGTCTGTTCTCTGCACCTCCATCACTGTCTGGTTTGGATCTGCCACCAAAAAGGACAGGAGCAGACTACAACGGACAGTCAGGACTGCAGAAAAGATCATCGGTGCCAACCTGCCCTCCATTCAGAACTTATACATTTCCAGAGTCAGGAAATGGGCAGGAAACATTACTGCAGATCCATCTCACCGCAGACACAACCTGTTCCAATTTCTCACCTCTGGTAGGCGCTATAGAGCACTTTACTACCAAACCAACAGACTCAGGAACAGTTTCTTCCCACAAGCCATCACTCTAATGAACAGCTGACTCTGACTCACAGTGTGAGGAACGATTCCTCTGCAACCACCTACCTCAACTTCATAACACTTGCACAAAATACTTACTTATTTATGTCAGCATTTTTGCACTATGCTCCATCACACTGTGTACATGTATGCATGTAAGTGTACCTGCATATCACATCCACCTACGACATGTACACAATAATGATATTAATAATTTTACTCTTGCATCCTTTGCACTGTGCTCACTGCACATATTTGTCAATATCTCTCTATTATTTTTGTTTCAGTTTATAGTGTGTATATTTGTGTTCTCCATACTGTAGCCTGTGTCTGACTTTATTATTGTGTTATTGTATTATCATTGTATGAGTAGGCACATCGTGAGCAAAGTACAATCCAAAGTCAAATTCCTCAAATGTGTACACACACCTGGCGAATAAAACAGATTCTGATTCTGATTCTGATCCAGAGTAACTATATTTTTAGATAATGCGTCTCGGACGTGTTTGGGCCCCAGTACAATAACTTCAGTTTTATCTGAATTTAACATTATGAACTGTTAGAAGAATCTTTACCAAAGAACGACAGAGTCACTGGAGTCACAATCAGTGATCTTTTATTTGCAAGGAGTCAATACATGCACTACAATGAATACAGAATAAACTAACGAGAAGGGCTCGACACTGTTTTTAAACATTTGGTTACACCCATTGTTTTCCACGTCAGACAAGGTAGCTGACTCTTTATCTAGGTCACATGATCACACGGATGTAGACAGGAGCTGTCATCAACATTACGCCATGTCTCCCTCCCGTAGGCGTTTCCAGCCTCTCTCTATGTTTCATAAGTTCACTGAGATTATTAAATGCTTCTTTGTTTAGACAGACTTGCAGAAGTTTAAAATACTTACATTACATTTAGCTGACGCTTTTATCCAAAGCGACTTACAATTGCTTTATATGTCAGAGGTCGCATGCCTCTGGAGCAACGAGGGGTTAAGTGTCTTGCTCAGGGACACATTGGTGGATGGGTCACCCCATCACCACCCCACCACTTAAGCATAGCACGTTTTTCTAGCAAGAAATAAATAAGATGTTAGAAATACTTTAATCCAGGTTTTATTGATATGTTTCTTGTACATTTTGTTCTATGACTGAAAAAACATCTGTCCACTCCATTGGAAATTAAGTGCCATAGGTTTTATTACACCTTATTGTATTTATTTTAAATTATTTTATTTTGCATTTAAACAACTTTGTGTATTTATACCACTTGCTCTTAGTAAATGTTCAGTCAAGGGCAACTGGACTTGGTTGAAGATACTGGAAGACGTTTCGTCCCTCATCCAAAGGACTTCTTCAGTTCTGACTGACTGGCAGGGAAACTCAGCTATTTAACCTCAGTGGGGTCGTTGGCCCGGGTCATCGATACCGCTGGTTCGTTAGTGTTCCTTGTTGCTGTGACGACAGCCGTTACAGTCGTTAAGACTACCTGTGGCCAAGACTGAACGACCATCGTTGGTATCTTCACCTGAGGCCAATAGGTTACGTTTGTTGAGTTTCCTGGGAAGTGATGAAAGGACAGCATTGTAAGTGGGGGATAAGTGGTGGCGTAGACCCCCTCCCCTGTTCAATGACGGCTTCTCAACCCTGGTGTAGATGCTTCCTTGACACCTCTTTCAAACCATCCATCTTCTCTGTCTAAAATGTGCACCTGGTGGTCCTCAAACGAGTGTCCTCTGTCCTTCAGATGTAAGTAGACTGCAGAGTCTTGACCTGAGGAGTTGGCCCTTCTGTGTTGAGCCATGCGTTTGTGTCGTGGTTGTTTAGTCTCCCCAATATACAGGTCTGTGCATTCCTCACTGCATTGGACCGCATACACTAGATTGCTTTTCTTGTGTTTGGGTGTGCGGTCTTTGGGGTGGACCAGCATCTGTCTTAGTGTGTTATTGGGTTTAAAAATCACAGGGATGTTGTGTTTGTTGAAAATCCTCCTGAGTTTCTCTGATACTCCAGACACGAATGGAATCACAATGTTGTTGCGTTTGACCTTCTTTTCCTCCCCTGTAGTTTTGTTCTTCTTGGATCTTGTGGCTGTTTTCACAAAGGTCCATTTAGGGTATCCACAGGCTGTAAGTGCCCCCTTCAGGTGGTTCTGTTCCTTCTCTCTGGCTTGGGCGCTTGTTGGTATGTTTTCCGCTCTGTGGTGCAGTGTTCTCATGACCCCTAGCGGAAAACATACCAACAAGCGCCCAAGCCAGAGAGAAGGAACAGAACCACCTGAAGGGGGCACTTACAGCCTGTGGAACTTATATGACAGTTTGGGCAGCGAACTATTCAGCAGGTGACTGGGCGCCTTCATCAGAGATCAGCTGGACATCAGCTGGTCAAATCTGAGAAGTCATGATCATTATTATTCTATATCTATAAATAACTATAAACATATATTAATTATAATCATATATTGTGATTTTCAGTCTGCTTTTTGAGATATTTTAGCCTTCTTAACTTTGTCAGTAGACTAAAAGTTATATTTTAGTGATGTCTTGTTTCAGCAGGTTTTAAAAACTGGATCTTGTATTTGGTTATGTTTGTCTAATATTATTAAAACAGTGTGACAAATATGCATAAAACTAAGAAATACTACAAATACTTTTTGTACACAGACCTGTAGATATACAGTATGTTTTCCTCAGTATCACAGTTATCCAGTGGAAGTACATCCATGGCTACACTGCTAACAGCTAATCCAGCTACGTTTTATTATTATTATTTTTTTGCATAACACAAGTCCAACAATCACGACCACTTCAAGAAAAAATACAGTCCAGAGGGCTGTTTCACAAAACCATGTTGGCCTGCTCCAGACCAGGCTAACAGCCAGGCTTGGTTAATCCTGGGGCCTCATATATTCAGTCAGCGGTCAGACACCGATGTGTTTTTCATACTGGCAGTAGGTAGGCTGCATATTTTATCAATTTCAGTTGAGTATAGCCAGTATTTACTGCTTCATTATAAATATAGAATTGGCCAAAGGCGTCACTTTGTGTTGAAAGGTGGGGACAAAAGGGCTCAGATTAGGGGCCCGATGATACACTTGTGTCACGAGACCTGACGATGCTCAAAAACAAGATGAGAAGATTTTTAACACTATTTTTAAGAAATATTAAATGCTAAAATCTTATTGGAGGATCCTCCCCCAATAAGATTTTGAGCATTAAACACTTCATTTCCTGCATTCTGGAGACATTGCTGCTTCAATTTAGGGTGGAAATGTCTTTATTTATAAAAAGAGAAACAAAAAACTTCAGCTGGCAGGTGACACAATTCATTGATAGAAAAATATAATAGCCTGTTACTTTTTTGGACAATGCACATTTGTTTTCTCTATATTTAAATTGCTTTGCATGTTTTCTTATTGTGCAAAGAAACCTTTCTCAAAGCATTTTCACTTATTAGTGAACATTTCTTGGTGCAAGCTGTTTTTCAGAACATTTTTAACAGTTGCTTTCAAAAAGTGATGGAGACAAAATCAGATTTCACATTGTGGTGGGGACATGTCCCCAGCGTCCCCAGTGTAAATGACACCTTCCCCGGCCACAGAAGAACAT